ACTCTCTCGCTTCACGCACACAGTGTCCGTGGTTCAGTCCCCGTCCGGGTGGAAACATTGGGCGTGTTTCCTAAAAATGCTGTCCCCGTTCACCCAGCAAGCAAGAAGGTACTTGGATGTTAGTCGACTGGTGTGGATCGCATCCTGGTGTATAAGACTGAAGGATTCCAATGGTGGCTAACCCTCTGGGGTTAAAAATTCAAATAAAATTTTCATATCTAACTTCCTTGGCACACTCGGAGGAATATTTCTTATCCTTTACTGGTCAGCTTTTCGCTTAAGAATCGTAACCATAGAAGATCCAGCTTGCTGTTAAGGTGATGATATCTTTATTGGTAGATATCCTTAGACACTTATGCAACATTAGGGAATTTTTATTCTGGAAACGTTTCTCAAGCCAATGGCTCCTTCAGTGCAATACAGACAACAGCTGAAGATGTGAAGTTTGATGTAATCAGTCTCTCAACCTGGAGTCCGTGCGTTCAGTCCACCAGTCTTGTTAAAAGTACAACATATTCGCGGAATCGAAGCTTATAAACTGCAGACAGATGAGGTGGAACAAGTATTAGGCGGAGACAACAGTGAAAAACCCGTCTAATGGAAGTAGGTTGCGCCTATAGGTTAGGTTAAGCACGACCTACTTCCACTAGTGGGTTTTTCCACTGTTGTCTGCGCCTTCACTTCATGTGTTTGCAGTACGTGCTGCACTTTTATAAAGATTGTTGGAGTAAACGCAGCTTTACCTTCCTGGAGTACTAGCAAGATAGTCTGAACACCTGGAGTACTAGGAAGATAGTCTGAACACCTGGAGTACTAGGAAGATAGTCTGAACACCTGGAGTACTAGCAAGATAGTCTGAACACCTGGAGTACTAGGAAGATAGTCTGAACACACTGGAGTACTAGCAAGATAGTCTGAACATCTGAACACCTCTTGGCCTTGGTTCCATTACGATCATAGGCTAATATCAAGGGTACTAAGACCCACGTCAGGAAACACGACAAGTGTTTCCTGACGAATCATACCTAACCTAATACGGCTGGCTTAGTCGAGTTTACTAGCGTCAACATCACATCGATGTAAAAAGAAAATTGTCTGAAAACTCTTTGACTTCATCGGTATTCCACATATTAAAGACGGAGCTTTCAAAATGTCATCAATTTATCCTTTGTTAGATTTGGTCATTAACATTTATTCTTTTTCAATTTTGTTTCAGTTATGATAACTAGACTTCGTATTTTTCTATTTATTAAAATAAACTTGTATTACAAAAACACCAATTGCGTTTTACATAGGTGTTAGTAATATAAAAGTTCGGGATACATATATACACATATATACAATAACATAGGAAAACAGTACAGTAACACTGAAGACCAGTACAGTAACACAAGACCAGCACAGTAACACAGAAGATCAGTACACTAAAAGAGAAGACCAGTACAGTTACAGAGAAGACCAACAGAGTAACACGAAAGAACAGTACAATAACCCAAAAGACCAGTACAGTAACACAGAAGACTAGTACAGTAACACAGAAGACCAGTACAGTAGCACAGAGGACCAGTACAGTAACACAGAAGACCAGTACACTAACACAGAAGACCAGTACAGTAGCACAGAAGACCAGTACAGTAACACAGAAGTCCAGTACACTAACACAGAAGACCAGTACAGTAGCACAGAAGACCAGTACAGTAACACAGAAGACCAGTACAGTAACACAGAAGTCCAGTACACTAACACAGAAGACCAGTACGCTAAAAGAGAAGATCAATACTCTAACGCAGAAGACAAGTGCACTAACACAGAAGACCAGTACTCTAACACAGAAGTACAGTACAGTAACACAGAGGACTAGTACAGTAACACAGAAGAACAGTACACTAACACAGAAGACCAATACATTAACACAGAAGACCAGTACATTAACACAGAAGACCAGTACACTAACACAAAAGACCAGTATACTAACACAAAAGACCAGTACACTAGCACAGAAGACCAGTACTATAACACAGAAGATAAGTACACTAACACAGAAGATAAGTACACTAACACAGAAGACCAGTGCAGTAACACAGAAGACCAGTACAGTAACACAGAAGCACAGTTCAGTAACACCGAAGACCAGTACAGTAACACAGAAGACCAGTACACTAACAAAGAAGACCAGTACAGTAACAAAGAAGAAGAGTACAATTACACAGAGGACCAGTACACTAACACAGAAGAACCGTACAGTAACACAGAAGACCAGTACACTACTACAGAAGACCACTACAGAATCACAGAAGACCTGTACACTAACACTGTGACTAGTACACTAATGCCAACGACCGCTGCACTAACATAGAAGACCAGTACACTTACACAGAAGACAAGTACACTAACACACAAGACCGGTACAGTAACACAGAAGACCAGTGCAATAACACAGAAGACCAGTACACTAACATTGTGACTAGGACACTAACACCGTAGACCAGTACACTAGAACAGAAGACCAGTACTATTACACATAAGACCAGTACAGTAACACGAAAGAACAGTACAATAACACAGAAGACCAGTACAGTAACACAAAAGACCAGTACACTAACACAGACGACCAGTACACTAACACTGACGACCAGTACACTATCACAGAAGACCAGTACAGTAGCACAGAAGACCAGTACAGTAACACAGAAGACCAGTACACTAACACAGAATACCAGTACACTAAAAGAGAAGACCAGTTTTCTGAAACAGAAGACAAGTGCATAAGCAGAAGCCCAGTACATAACACAGAAGTACAGTAGAAAACAAGAGGACTAGTACAGTAATGAGAAGAATTTTACACTAACACAGAAACCTTTACATTAACACAGAAGAAAAGAACCTAACACAAAAAAGCCAGTCACAACTAAATGAAAAGTATACTAAAAAAAAAAGGCCCATTAATAGCAGAAGACCAGTCAATAAACAGAAGATAAGTACCTAACATAGAAGAGCAGCACTTACACAAAAGCAAGTACAGAACACGAAGCCCAGTACACAAACAAGAAAGACCATTTCGAACACAAAAGACCGTAGAGTAAAAAAGAAAAACAGTTCAGTAAACACCGAAGACCAGTACAGTAACACAGAAGAACAGTACACTAACACAGAAGACCCGTACAGTAACACAGAAGACCAGTACACTAACACAGAAGACCAGTACAGTAACAGAGAAGACCTGTTCACTAACACTGTGACTATTACACTAACACCAACGACCATTACACAAACACAGAAGACCAGTACACTTACACAGATGTCCAGTACACTAACACAGAAGACCATTTCAGTAACACAGAAGACCAGTACAGTAAAACAGAAGAACAGTACACTAACACAGAAGACCCGTACAGTAACACACAGGACCAGCACTCTAACACAGAAGAACCGTACAGTAACACAGATGTCCAGTACACTAACACAGAAGACAAGTAGAGTAACACAGAAGAAGAGTACAATTACACAGAAGACCGGTACAGTAACACAGAAAACTAGTACAGTAACACAGAAAAGCAGTACATTAACACAGAAGACCAGTACAATAACATAGGAAAACAGTACAGTAACACTGAAGACCAGTACAGTAACACAAGACCAGCACAGTAACACAGAAGATCAGTACACTAACACTGTGACTAGGACACTAACACCGAAGACCAGTACAGTAACACAAGACCAGCACAGTAACACAGAAGATCAGTACACTAACACTGTGACTAGGACACTAAACACCGAAGACCAGTACACTAAAACAGAAGACCAGTTCAATAACACAGAAGATAAGTACACTAACATAGAAGAGCAGTACACTTACACAGAAGACAAGTATAGTAACACAGAAAGCCAGTACACTAACACAGAAGACCAGTACACTGACACAAAAGACAAGTACACTAACACAAAAGACAAGTACACTAGCACAGAAGACCAGTATAGTAACACAGAAGACCAGTACACTAACACAGAAGACCAGTACACTAACACAGAAGAAAAGTACAGTAACACAGAAGACCAGTACAGTACCATAGAAGACCAGTACATTAACACAGAAGACAATTACACTAACACAGAAGACCAGTACAGTACCACAGAAGATCAGTTCACTTAAGCGGAAGACCAGTACACTAACACAGAAGACCAGTACACTAACACAGAAGACCAGTACAGTAACACAGAAGACCAGTACACTAACACAGAAGACCAGTACAGTAACACAGAAGACCAGTACACTAACACAGAAGACCAGTACACTAACACAGAAGACCAGTACAGTAACACAGAAGACCAGTACACTAACACAGAAGACCAGAACACTAACACAGATAACCAGGACAGTAACACAGATAACCAGGACAGTAACACAGAAAATCAGTACACTAACACAGAAGACCAGTACACTAACACAGAAGACCAATACATTAACACAGAAGATAAGTACACTAACACAGAAGACCAGTACACTAACTCAAATGACAAGTATACTAACACAAAAGGCCAGTACACTAGCACAGAAGACCAGTACAATAACACAGAAGATAAGTACACTAACATAGAAGAGCAGTACACTTACACAGAAGACAAGTACAGTAACACAGAAGACCAGTACACTAACACAGAAGACCAGTACAGTAACACACATAACCAGGACAGTAACACAGAAAATCAGTACACTAACACAGAAGACCAGTACACTAACACAGATGACCAGTACAATAACACAGGAGACCATTACAGTATCACAGAATACCAGTACAGTAACACAGAAGACCAGTACACTAAAAGAGAAGACCAGTACGCTAACACAGAAGACAAGTGCACTAACACAGAAGACAAGAAACAGTAACATAGCAGACCTGTACAGTAACAAAGAAGACCAGTACGCTAACACAGTGACTATTACACTAACAGAGAAGAACAGTACACTAACACAGAAGACCAATACATTAATTTCTATTCCTGGTAGTATTAACCTTACCTGGTGTGGGTTGAAGTTTGAAGAATAACTTCACCTCCACTCTTCTCATGATCAGGTACGGTGATCTACAAGGAGTATTTCTGTTCATTGATACTAATTTACCTGGTTACAAGTCATGACATTGAAGTAGAATACCAGCCTTTGTCTTTCTTCATTGTCATACTTATTTAACACTTATATAACCAGTGTTTTCTTTATTATCAGCTCTGCTGCTGACCTGGTCAACCAGGGTAGACGCTAGTTAATTGGAGCAAGATCCCTGTCTACAGGACGTAGTGGGACATTACGACTCCTCACCTCTAAAATCTGAATTGTGGTGATACAACCAAGTAGTGACAGGATTTTCAGAACATGGGACGAACACCGCCACCCAGGATAACCAACACCATTTCTTCTAAAACATCATCAGAAGACCATCCTGGGAATAAGATTCTCATGTCCCAACATCCTACTGGAACCACAGCGGCCAATATTTATTTTATTTATTTTTAATTAAAATCCTTAGAAAAACATAATTATTATCCATCAAGTTATTCATTTATTATTTTTACTTTCTTTTGTTCAATAGGAAGGCGTTCCCCTGACACTGGTAGCACAGAAGACCAGTACA